AGGCCATGAAAGATAAGAAAAATCACACATGCAAGCTAACCTTAGGAAAGCCCAGGATGGACTCATGGATTTAGGCTTTTCACACTGTTCTAAACTAAGCCTCTACAAGGTACTGACAGTGATGGACCGTATGATGCTGGAGCTAAGTGGGTAGAGCATGTGTGTAAGTAAAGGCCATTATCCTACCAGGCTACCTCTCCGAACTGTTCTGGAACCCCATCTCTAAACCACAGAAGAACAAATTTGTAGAATTTGCTTGTATTTCCCCTTGTGATTTATCACTGGATTCTCCAGTTTTCCCCATTCAGGCAACTAGGGATTCCAAGATGACTGCTGGTGTGATTGTATGGACACGTTAATACTCATTTGGCTAAGTACAGTGGGGGAAATAAGTATTTGACCCCTTGCTGCTTTTGCAGGTTTGCCCACTTACAAAGAATGCTTATTTTACCTCATCAGATGGTTATCAATTTGTATAAAGTCATATGATGTGATTTTCTGGAATTTTCTTTGGGATTCTGTCTTTCACTGTTAGAATGTACATATGATTAAAGTTATAGATCGTTGCATTCTTTGTAAGTGGGCAAACCTGCAAAATCAGCAAGGGGTCAAATACTTATTTCCCCCACTCTATGTTTGTTACCGCACGGGAACTGGCACGTTGCTGCATGGGAAAACAAATCAGGACATCAAGTCATTTGAATTTTTACCTGTTGGTGTAGGTGCAAATCAGCACCTTGTTGTGGGGGTGCTTACAAAGCTCCCTGGCTGCTGTAGCCAGGGTCAAAGTCTTCCCCGTTCCAAAGGGTCCGTAGATGAGGAGAGGTGCCACCATCGGCTTCTTCCCATCACAGGTCCCCAGGATAAAGTCAACTGCCGACTTCTGCTTCGAGTTGAGCTCACAGGAAACATTACTGACGGGAACCGCGCAGTTAGAAAGGTCTGGTACAACTCTGGACGTGTCGGGAAGGAGGTCTACGGCTTTGTGCATGGTGCAGAACGAGAGGCGGTCCAGCTGGAACTGCACCTCCATTTGATATGATTCACCACTTTTGAGAGCCATATCGGAGCAGCACTGTTTAGACAGCAGCAAATAGATTTGGTTTTTGCTGGTTTTGTGGTGCAGAACGCTGGCCTCGTAGACCTTGGATGAGTTTAGATGACTGGAACTCGAGGGAGCGATCAGGGCCGACCGAACGCTTCTCTTCAGCATCCGGCC